GAACCACATGAGATTGCTGGTATTTGCCTATTTTTGCCCTACAAAATGGGAATTTTATATGGTTCCTTCTAATATATATGTATATAACTTATATACATATTCTAGATCTTCTATATAGATAACTTTAAAATAGAAAAGGAACTTTGGTTCCCCAGTGTTTTAAATTAGAAAATAAGTTCCTTTTAATTGAATAGAATCAACCATGTAGAATTCTACCTCATAGAATAAAATAATCTATATGACTTTTTCTTTTTTTTTTCTTTTTTTTTTTGCTTCTGATATCTGTGGGGAAGTAGGAGAGCTTAGAGAAAAGTAGCATGATTTTTCTTAAATAAGCTTTAGCCTCAGGCTATTTTATCAGTTATATATTTTTATTTTAACAGCAGTGACTTATTCAGGATTTTAATTTGGTTCTCAAAGTACATGATTTTGGATTGTGAGACTTAGCATTTCATGGCATTTTTAAATTGTAGGACTATTTCTTAAGTGGGAATAAGTAATTCTTTGAGTGCTAAATCTTCGAAGATGCACAATTCTAAAAAATTTCACTCACTGACAATTCAGAAAACCATTTGCATGATGGTTGCTTTATATCACTATAAAACGTTTCTATTATTAAGTCTTACCACATTACAGGACAACCATTTATAAAAAATAGTGCTGCAGTCATCTCTGGGGTACTAGTGAGGTGTCATCATTATTTACTGAGATAGTATTTTTGGGTAGTGTCTTACTTCCTAACAGACAAGTTCAGGAACTGTCCCTTAGACAATTCATCAAAGCTGGTTTCCAGACAAACAGGGTCATGTTTTTTCTTAATTGAATTGGGATGAGCCTGTCACTCAGCCAAAGTCTGCAAGGGCTTCCACTTAGCACAAAAGTCAGGCTTTCTGGTCCCCAGAGTCTCAGCTCTGCCACAGAGCCTGCCTATAGTCACTGCCTCAGATAACTTCCAAAGTATGGGGCACCCCAAACTCAAGTATTTTATCACTTACCATCCTCTATCCAGTCAATACCCTTTATCTTGAGCTCACTGTGATCCATGTACTTTGAAAAGAGCCCTAAATGTAGAACAAAGTCAGTGAGTCTGTGATCTAGTTTTGGCTCTAAGCAGCTAGCAGAATTGGCTTTTTGATAATTAGATTCTAAACACTGAATTTACACATGCCCGATAGTTACCTATAGATAACATAGCCCCTTTGTCCAAAGAAGTACTTCCAAGGTCACCTTCATAAAGAATGAGGATACTTGACAACATAATTTAGGAAAGAAGAGGATAGAAGTGACTGTAGAAATGAAAGAGTTTTCTTTGTACCTATACATAAGACTGCTGCTCTTCTGATAGGAAGTTTTGCATTCCTGGAGAACATCATTGTTTGGGCTAGGATGTCCACTTTCCCTGTAAGTTTTTTTCCCTAAGCGGGGGGAAAAGTAAGAGTATAAAGGAGCGAAGTAGCAGCGCTATTTTTATCAGCCTCACTATAGTTTCCAGAATCAGAGACTATGTCAGATATACATATATAGTTGAATGTTTGAAATAATTACAGTTGCTTAATGAATATTACACCACAACAGTCCCTTAGACGAGATAAATCTTCTAAACACACCTTGCTCACACCCACTTATGTCGCATATTGTGCCTATAAAGGCTTCAAATCCATCTTCATTTCTCTATACCTAAGTCTTCTCTGTTCTCTAAGCTCAGCCATGAGTCTCCCTGAGTTCTTCCCTGGCAGCTCTTGCCTTCCTGATCTAACCCTGCTCTGAGCATTTTGCAGATACTCCTCTCTTGGCACATATTGTTTTCTATCTTGAGTTTCTATTTAATGTTCACAGAGGTTTTCTCTCCTTTACTAGCTTACAAACTCCCCTTAGGAAGTTTTAATCCTTGGCATGTTTCTGTGTTCTCCATGGCCTGTTGCACACTGGATGTGCTATGCTTACTAGGTGAATGAATCCACCTCTCAGTGGATCTCTTATAAGGATAGGCACCTCAGGGATAAGAGGAGAATAGGAATTTGCTTTCATATGACTTATGATTTAAAGTGGATAATCTGTAGTCTTATCCACCGAGAGCACTGAATTTCCTGCTACCAATACTGTCATCAGTCCATCACTTATAGATTTGGCTGCATGTCAGAGATAATCCCTATTGGAAAGCCTGACATGAGTTTACAGTAGGGCTTTCTAGCCCTCAAAGTCTGATCAGAGGAGCCCATACTGGGACCTAAACAGGCTATAGACATGGAAGAGCCCCAGGAATAGTCAGTCCTAGGGTCTTCATTGTAGGATCCCAGTGGTTCTAGAGTGGGTTGTTTAGAAAAAAAATATGTGGACTTTCTGAGGCTGTTCTGGCTCAAGCCTGTCCCTAAGATTGGCCACAGTAGACTTTGTCAAGTTTGCAAGAAACTGCCATCAGGCTACATGGCCTACAACAGCATGTCAGCCCTTGCTTGGGGCTCCCTGACCACGTACCGATAAAGAGTGAAACAATCCACTATATCTAAGGAAAGGATAGAGATCATTGTAAAGGGTTGTAAAGGCAACACATAGCTTCACTCCACAAGTAGTTATTTGAGTATGTACTATCAGTTTGACCCTGTAGACTGGCCCAGGATAGTGGGGGTCCCAAGAATTCACCAGTCTTTTCCGTGAGGAAGGACAGTAACAGAAAGTGTATTTGTGACTCGGGAGGAAACTATAGATTCACAGTACAAAACAGTTCATAGATATCAACTGCTGATTAAAAACTACATCTGAAAAAAATTCAGCATATTAAATAATTAACAAAGCCATTATTTCTCACGTACAAAGAATTTGCAGATTGTTCCAACTTCACTAGGGTTGCTGTACCAGGGGCCTTTGTAGTACACTTCATGGGGCAGCCTCCACTTCAGGAACTGGGTACATATAGTTAGGACTCGCCTGCTCGTCTGTGAAAAAGATGATCAGAGATCAATATTTCCAAACATTTTTTAGCTGAGGCAACCTTCCTCAAATAAAACTGATATTAAAGTCCAATATGAAAAGTTGATATACTCAGAATTATCGTGGTTGAGTGAAGGGAAGGGTAGAAAGGAACCAGAGTCCTGACCTCCATCAACTTTCCCTCCCAAACAGTCCCTAAAGGGGACCCATAAAACCTGTGGGTTTCTGGAGAGGATGCAGAAACCACTGGTCTAGGGTAAAAGTGTAATACCCAGACCGGAGGTAGGGATCCTATGCCCATTTGCTGCTCCTATGTTATTTTTCTGTCACTCTACACAGGGAAGTGTAGTTCCTCTTCTCACAGTCCTCGTGGAATCTCTGGCTTGGAAGGAACTCTGGAGAGTATAGATCCTTTTCTGATTCAAACACTAGAGCAAAATTTAGCAAGTAGGCCTCTTCTTTATGCATTACTCTCAGAATGCTTCCCATGCACCATATAACACCTCTGATGAATCTCCAAGTAAGTATATTGTTCCAGGTCCACTAGATATTTGGGCCATTGAAATTCCTTTGGGGATTGATGGGCATACAAATTAGTTCAGCTACTTTGTTTGGTAGCTTGTAAATATCTAATAAAATTAAAGGTACCCTGATATTCCACATCTGGGTTTATGCCCTCAAGAAACTCTCACACATGTACACAAAGAAATTTGCACAAGAATGCTCATTGTTGTAATAATGAAAAACTGAAAACAATCTAAATGTCTAGGAATGGGAAAATGGGACAAGTTGTAGGATATTCATATGGTAGAATCCTATATGGCAGTGGAAATAAATGAACTAGAGCTATACAACATAGATAAATCTTATAACGTTAAATAATAAAGTTTATAAGTGATACAACACATAAAGCTTTTTACATACTTTTTTTGTGTTATCTTGTTTTTTTGTTAGTTTGTTTATTTTTAGGCAAAGCAACCCTTGGTTGACCTCGCAGGTTGCGAGGAACTTGTCAGCTTACAATCATTTATGTTTAAAAATTTTTTATGCCTACAGCACCTGGTCTTACTAGGTGGTCTCCCATCCAAGTAGTAACCAGGCCCAACCCTGCTTAGCTTTGGAGAACATACAAGATTTTAAAACATAGAAAATATTACCACAGAAATGATAAAAACAAAATTTAGGATAATAATCCTTAGGGGAATTTGATTGGGAATAGGTGCATGATTAATTCTTGTTTTATTTTTTAGAGTGGGTGGCAGATATGTGGGTGTTTATTATGTCTTCCGTGTCAGTGATTCTCAACATGTTGAACATTAGATCTCTCCTCTCTGCTTAGGAAACCCTCAGAGGAGCCTTGAAGAGGTGGCTAGATGTTGTTGAAGGTTTGAAGGAAAAAAAGCCCAGAGCCTCGGCTGCTTGCCTTGTCTGATTGCCAAAGGCTGGTGGGGCGAGTTGGTGGTGGCTGTCAATACCTCCACATATCTGAAATATATCTGGTTGGGAAGCTCTGCTCCATTCTTTATTGGGGTCTGAAATATTTCATATTTATGGCTACGAGGCTATAAAACTTCCCCCATAACAAAGTGCCAAGGTCCATCGTAATCTTAAATCCTGTTTCTGAACCTGCTTTTGTTTCTGTAAGAAGGAGCACAGTTAGGTAAGAATTTCAGCATTTTTCCAGAATCTTTGAAGCCCAAGCCTACTTCTCTGGTTTGCTGTAACTGGTGGTTACCGTTAGCACCTTGGAACAGACAGGCTTCAGACAGTACAAAAAGATGATGACATCCCACCCACAAGTCTTACGGCAGAAACTCCTGGAAGATTTAGGAGAGGTAGTAAAGGCTTCTCTAGGTTATCAGAGAAGCTACTATTTCTGACTTAATCTCAATACAAGTCTTTTTGTCTTAAAGTCATGAGGCAGTTCTTGAATGAAAGAAGAAAGATAAGAGAATATTATCATTATCATTAACAAAAAGAGTTTGTTGAATTGGACACTGTATCTAGGGCTCCCATCTAGGCTGAATGTTGGGGTGGAGCTTCAAAGGGTATAATACATTCGTTCTTAACCACAAAGAGCCGTAATTTGCTATATAGAAAGAGTAAGATTTTTACACAATTCACTTAGGCAAAATAATTGAAAGGCAGACTGTACCAGTGGCAATAATGAATAAAGATGGTACCACAAAGTCTCCTCCCTCAAAGATATGAACTCTTATTTGCAGATTTGGCTTTGGTTTTGAAGTAAAATTTAGAAATAAGTTGATAGTAGGCATTACCTTGGCTACTGCATCATTTTCATCCTGAGAATATAGAAGTAGTGGAATCAAGCTGTCCAGGACTTGGTTCTCTACCCTTTTTTTATCTGTGTATTTCACAGACTTGATGGCGGCTCCAAAGAGGGTCATGGAGAAATGCTGAACATCAGGTCTCACCTATGAAGGGAACATCCAACGGGAAGCAACTCACTGAAACTGTTCATGCTTAATTTATAAAAGCGTTAGTTGGTTGAAATGCCAGTCCTGCTATGAGGCTATTCAGCTGTAGGTAGCTGAAGGTAAGAAACTAAACATATGTGGAAATAGCAAGACTCGCCACTTTGTACTACTTGTTCTCTCACTGTGAGATATGGGCACAGTCCCACCTGTAGACATCACATCTTATGCCTGATACTGGTATTAACCATTCACAAGGCTGTTTTGTTGAAATTCAAAATCCCAGTCTTGGTATATTTGACTCCTCCAAGGACGTGGTTCATTGTGCTTCATGTATTTCTTTTTTGGAAAATCTTTGCAATTTGGGATGGGAACGTATGTATTGTCTACCATCTTCACCCAGTCCCAATCATCCTTGAAAGGAAAGATAATGTCTTTTCTTATAAAAGCTCTGTCCTCATTCCATGAAGCAGGGGATTACCTTGGCAAGTCTCTATGTCTCAGGTTGTTTTTTTTTTTAATCTGATAAACAATAATACCAGCCCTACCAACACCACAGGTTATCTGGAAGGGTCTTAGGAGAGATTTGAAAGTGCTCTGAGTATATAAAGCACTGTATAAAATAGAGTGTATTTATTACTATTCCAACCTCTATTTGCTGTTATGCCATTACCCTCCCCCTAGGACAGTCTCTCCTCTCTCACTGTCTTACATCATCAAACAAGGAGAACAGGGTCCTCATCATGGCAGTCAGGGTGGTGACGTCTATTGTCCTAACAAGCTGCAGGAGGATCTGGATGGCCAACAAAACGATCTTCTCATCTGTTTCACATAAGAGGTCTAAGATGTTCGGCAACAGCTTCTTGATGTCTTCCCTCTGTGAGCCCAAAGGGAGTGCATCACAACCTCTCCTGAGAGCACTTCATCTGGTACCAAAGTAGGGCTCCCCGCCTTTACTCAGTACCTGGCGTTTGTTGAATTTTTGCTGGCATTGGCTAGTCAAGGACACAGAAGTGAAGAGGGTATGATTGCCCTCTTCCAGGACTGATATGTAGAGAAGAGAGCAGGGTGAGGTTGAGACTAGGTGACATTGGTCTAGCTATATGGACTTGGGCTTAATTTAAGCAACTGCTTTCCTAACAATGAGGGAAAGTGGAATGGCTAGCTCGAGTCATAGCGAGTTTCCCAGCATGGAAGGTGTTCAAACAGAGCCTCAAAGATTCCTTGTAGGAATTCAAGCAGAAAATGACTAAGGACGCTTAAGGGTCTTTCCCATTGGGATTCTGCTCTTTTGAAACCCCCCAAAAGGAACAATCTCAGGGGTTTAAAGTTTAAAACATACATGTAAAAAGTAAATAGAATAAGCCAACCAATATTGATGTAGGTAATCAACCAGAATATTTTTTTTAAATAAAAGAAATAGAACTGAAGTTTGTTTGTTTTCCCCCTAATTTAATCTTCTCTTCTGACCCAGGCTTAGTTTCTGGCTAGGCCTGTGGAAAATAAGCTTTCGACATGAATGTCAATGACTCTTGTCTTAGATAAGGCAACATGGTACGAGGCATAAAAAGACACCTCGTTTCAACATGAATGTCAATGACTCTTGTCTTAGATAAGGCAACATGGTACGAGGCATAAAAAGACACCTGCCTGTTACCCGGGTTGTGATAATGAGGGTACCTCCTACACAGACTGCAGGTTTCAAATATTATGAATGTGCGTGACTTGGACTTTTTATTTTTTAAATTTCATTAAATGTTTAACAGTCTGGACTTACATATTTCTTAGGTATAAAATTCAAATGGTAGAAGGGGATGTACTCCCAACCCACTCCTCCGCTCAGGCCACCCAACTTTCCTCCTCAGCTGTTACCAGTTTCTTGGGTATCTTTCTGGGGTGCATTTTATTTATGACTTAAGAATCAGTGGTCTGGGAGCCCCTCCTACCATCTTCTGATGTTTGACAAGATAGTGCAGTCCCCTCAGGGCAAGGATTCTAAAGAGATTATTTCCATGTTGTAGCCAATCTGTCAAGCGGACAATTGAGTATATGCTGGGTAGTCTCCTAGCCACTGGACTCTGGAGAAGCTGAAAGAACCCAGAAATCAGCCAAAGAAGTTACTCTTAAGCCTTTTTTCATGAAAGGAGCCACTTTCCCACCAACTCCAAATTACATATTTCCCTTTGAAACCTCCACTATACAGCACATACATTCAGGGTGATTGCTTATACCGTAGGAACATAAGGAATGCTAAATAATGAATATGTGGAAAGAAGAATTTCAATAGGCTTGAACTTGAAACTATTTTAATCCCACATCTGAAATGGATCCCAGCTTCTCACTGAATCAGATAGGGTCTAGAAAGACAGGTAACTCTGCTTTATAGGCTTCCTGAATCCAGCTTCTAAATAATGAGTCTTACCTCCACAAAAAAGCCTGCAGATGTGAGTTTATGTTTATCGTTCCCTCGGTTAAGAAGAGGGACTAACAAGTACATAACCTTATGAGCAAGGAGGCGATTTTTTTCCAGCAATGCACTGTAAAACAGAACACCAACAGAACAACTCTTAGAAATGCTCCTAAACAGGGAGCATTGTTCTCAGGCTGGGGGCCCTCTGAAGTATTTGCCTGGCTTCAGGTGCACAGGAGGATGGCAGGGCCATGGCCTCTGAATAATCTGCCTGACATTATAGGTCTTTGCCCACCCCGCAATGAGAAGATTATCCAACCTTGGTGTCTGTGATGACTAAAAAGGGAAAGAATACTTTAAAACAAAGCTGATTTACAGCAGCTAGCATGGCAAGGAAGCCTTACTTGGCAAGGAGAGATACTCCCTGAAGATGGCAATCTTTTCCTGCCAGGAGGGTCCATCCTTTATTTTTTTCCATGATGTGGAATTCCTGCCAGCACAACGTTCTGAAGAGGAGAGCCTTTGTAGCCTGTATGGCGAAGCTAAATCGAACAAAAACAGTACAGGTGAATGGAACAGGTCACTCCAGTACACAACCATCCAGCTCTCACTGAGGAAGGGCATGTACTGGTAACTGCTGGACCATAATTCTCTTTCTAGATTTCCCAAAAGACTTTGAATGCTCTAATAACTTGAAAGGGCCTTCACACAAATATAGGCATGAAGAAATCTAACCAGATTTTGTTTCCCTGGGATTTGGAAAGAATTCTATGATAAAACAAATGATAATGAGATTGTAAACAGATACCCACTGCTTTTTTAAAAAGCTTTATTTAGATACCATTTATACCCCATACAATGTACCCCCACTGCATTTTTTTTTTTTTTTTTTACTACTTATTGAATTAGTATCCTGGATATAACATCAGGGAATCTTAAAGCTGGAAGGGTCCTGGGAGAGCACCTAGTCTGATGTCATATACAGATAAGGAAATTGAGGCAAAGAATAATAGAAATTTGCCCAAGGTACACAGCTAGTTAAAGAACGAGAATTAGAACGCAGTGCTCCTGACTCTTAGTCAGGTGTTCTTAAATACTCCACATTTCAGCGTTTCCTCTGAAAGAAATCCATGTGCCACAGCAACACTAAGAAATGTCTATTGAGACCCTAATGGGGAACTAAAGATACCTCTCTAGGCAATAACGCAGAAATGAGATATTGTTCAATTATGGTTCAATATGGTTTAGGGGGTGGATTTAAGGATGTTTTGCTTGTCTCTGTCTCTACTTGATTTATCAGGAAAGAGCTGGCAAAATATCACACATTATTTTGCAAGGCATCTGAACCTGGATAGTCTAATCTACCTTGGCACCAATAAAACCAAGGACAACCAGCAAGAGCCCAGAATAATTCTTGGGCATTTCATCTTGATGTCGCATGAGGATAGCAGACTGTGAACCTCTCCCATAGTTGGGATGACAGCTTGGCCATCCTTGTACCCACTACCGTGCCCAGTGTTTAGTAAATGTTAGTTAAAGTCAACAAAATCACAATGGGCAGTACCACAAAGGAGTGATTGTAGCAACTTTTGAAGGCATTTCCTGTTCTGTGTACAGGCCACTTGGGATGGCGACATCAGACATGGTGAGGCCAATGCTGTGGTGAATCTGGACGAGTAGTGTCATGAGAAGCTGAGGAAAGAGTCGGAACGTAGCCGCTCGGAGTCTGTTTCCCACAAACACCTCATAAAGGGCATCTGTCGCCTGTGGTAGAAAAGGCACAAGCAGAGCTGAGCATGCCAGCCCTCGCCCTCACTGTTGCTTTCCTTCTGCTTATGCCAGAACATACTTTCTCGTTCCACTATCCCATAGGCGGAACAGGAGTGGCACTCAGTGTAGGGACATGATAGTGAGGGGGAAAAGGAAGAGGAGCGAAGTGGTCATTAAAAGTTACCAAAGGCTGAGGGGGACTTCGGAAATCCAGAAGTAAACTATAAAGGAAACTATTAATATATTTGACTGTACACACATATAAAACTAGGGCAATTTATCATAAATAAAGTTAGATGACAAATAATCTGAAAGGTATTTGTACAATGCGATATTCTTAATATATAAAATGCTCTTACATCTCAGAAAAAATATAAAGGCTGCTACTCAAAGTGTGGGCCACACACCAGTAGCACTGGCTTCAGCTGGGAGCAGGTTAGAAATGAAGAATTGCAAGCCCCATCCAGACCTTCGGCATCAGAATCTGTATTTCAGTTAGATGCTCAGATGATCGTGATTTGTGTGCATATTAAAATTGAGATGCACAGGTAAATAGGACGTGAGCACACAAGTCAGAAAGAAGACATATAAATAGACAATTAAAAAACATGTATAAATGTTCAACCTCACCAACAATAAAATTATAATTATCTTTTTTATTTACTCCTAGATAGGTAGGTAGAGGAAATTATAATTAAAATATGTTACTTTTTCATCTATGAGCTAGGCAACAATGAGAAGCCTGGTAATGCTCAGGGTGATGAGGGTGTGGGTAAATGGGCATTCTCATATACGACTGGTGGAAGGGCGATGTTCTAGAAGACCATCTGGAAACACTATTAGAAGTTTAAATCAGCCCATACCTTGACCTAGAAATTCCCCTTCAGTGGACTTTATCCTAAGAAAATAATTGGTTAGGTAGAGTATAACAAAATTTATGTCTACATGATTAAGTTTGCTACAGTACCATTTTAATGGCAAAAGTTTGAAAACTTTTTCATTAATAGAAAACTTGATAATGAAATAAATGTAAGTTTTGTACCATGTATTATCTATTTTTAAAATGGCAATTAAAAATAAATAAATTACTATGCAGCCATGGAAAGGATAACAGAAAACCCTGGATATTGATACGGAAAGTAGTTTATACATTGTTAAATGAAAAACAAGTCATCAAACAGTATATGTACTATGATCCTTATAGTTAATATATATACATACACAATTTTAGAGACTAACATAATTAAATATATACTTTTTCTGCCCTAACTCCTAAAACTGCAATAAAATGACATTATAGGAATTTTTAAAAAGGCATAAACCCACAACAGAGAGAACAGGAGAGGAGACAATAGCAGAATAGAGATGTCAAAATAATTTTGGAAGATTAAAAAAAAAAGTATAAAAATAACGTAGGCAGGAAAAAGCTGAACCGTAAACTGGTAGGGAAGAAAATAAAGTAAAAAAGGTGTATGTGGGCAGTTGGGAAAGCTGTGCACATAGCGGGCAGGAGGTTTATAGGAACTCCGTACTTTCTGCTTAATTTTGCTGTGAACCTAAAACTGCTTTTTAAAAAAGTCTATTTAAAAGAGAAAAAAAGGGCGGGGGGAAGTACACCAAATACATACACAAAAAGTTCATATACGTATAAACATTTCTAAAAACTTCATTTTAAGGAAGATGGTATAATCATTACTTAAATATTTACCATCCGGTCCTTTACATGGTTTGCCGACCTCTGCTTAAAAAGGACCTTTGCTCTCTATTTTATACTCTTTTGTATTATTTGAAAATTTTTTTCATGAGTTTGTGTTATTCTTAACTACAATGATACGGATTTTTTAAAGGACGAGAGAAGGAATGTTTAAAACATATTAAACCAAACTAATTCCTTCCCTTTCCCCAACTCCCTCCATGTCAATTCCTTGGTAGAGACACACTGGAGATTTCTAAATTGGTGACAGAAGCAAACTTTGAAAGGAACCAAAAGGAACACTCTCTAGATGGAGTGTCCAGCCAGTCCTCCCAAGAGGGGAGCATGATGAGCCAAAGTTGGAAGGGCAGAGCATGATGGCTTACAGCAACAGCCACATAGGCCATCTTCTCCTGGGTGGGCACATTATGGCATTTCTGCAGCTTTCTCAGGAGCCTCCACAGAATCCAGGTTGTGCTGGGCAGCTCCACCTCCAGAGTTCTCCACAACTCAGCCAGACACCTAGAAATCCCAGATAGGAAGGTTCAGGAGAATGGCTTATCTTAGGCCTACCATGATCACAATCATCCTAGTCGGTGTGGAATCCAATCTGTAAGAGGTTTTCTTCCAGTTTAGTCCTTCAGAGTAGCAAAAAACTTACCATCCAATTTCATAACAGTAACTCCCAGGTTTTATAGACTCACGTTCCCAGTGCTTTGGCTTGGACCTCAACACCATTCACAAACTGATCCTTATATTTTCAGGCTCACAACTTCCTTATCACATACTCTGTGCCCTAGCTACCCCAGGCCATTCACTTTTACCAAACCAACAGTGACTCTGAAAACCCTATGTCTTTGCTTATGTCATATTCTTAAACTGGAAGGTCCATTCCGAAACTCTTCTCTGCCCATCAAAATACTTCCAGGTCCAGCTCCAATGTCATCTCTTCTACGAAGGCTTTGCTGCTTCTTCATCATGTCACGCATGAAAGTTCCCCTAACACTTTAAAAATTTCTTATTTATAGAGATCGCCTCAATCTTACACATGCTATTGTCAATTCTTTGTATGTCTGTTCTTTCCGAAGGCAGGGATTATGTCTGGCTTTTCTTCTATGAATCCCTCAGGGTCTAGCACAATGCCAGGCTCACAGAAGGCTTTCAAAGATATATTTATTCAATCCAGTATATGGTCCTCAAATTTTGGCTAAGGTCGAGCCCTGAAATAAAGTTTTGATCCTCCTTAGAAGATATCTCTTCTTAAAGAAGAACAGCATGTAATAAATTCTCTTCTACCATTGTCTCAAAGGTGGGGCCTGAGAGTTATATAGACATTGTGGGGGAGCATTAAGGTGTGGAGGGGTGAAGATTGGGAGTTACTCATGCCTTTAACCCATCCTTTTGTTTTTGGAATCTACCTAGGTATCTTTGTATGCTAGAGTCAGTGTTTTTTTTTAAAGTGTGGTCTTCCAACTATCTGCATCAGAATCACTCTAAAAACTGAGGGGCTATTCCAACATTTCACTCCTTACTCTGGTCATTCTAATCTATGAATAAAACAAAGTAAATGTCTAAAAGACGGCTAAAGTGAAGGCCGGAAAGGCAATGCGGGATGCTGAAAAGGCTCGTAACTGTAGACTATCAACATTCATTCCTGGAGTGAAATTAAGAAATTCCTATATTTACTTACTTTTAGTTTTTTTCCCCTCTATATTCCTGAGGGAGTAAATGAAGTACTGTGAGAAGCTATTTATTGTGAAAGAAGTGTTTCAAAATGCTTTTGTTCTGCACATTTGTTAAGTGTGCTGGGAATGCATTTGAATTAGGAAAACACGCATTTGAATTAGGAAAACACGCAGATTTTAATATGAAAAAAATCATTTGGAGAGTTTGCTAAAAATATGGAACAGTCTCACTTCCAGTGATACAGGTTCTGTAGATGTGACATGGTTTTTTTTGTTGTTGTTTTTGTTTTTTGCCCATCATTTGGGGATGAGCATCTATTAAACTGTTTCATACATTCCTGGCATTTATTTTTGCTATTCTTCTGTCTAGAAGTCTCTTCCACTCCCCCATGCTACCATCTAATTGGCTAATTTACACTAAAAACTCAGCTTGGGGCAGCCCTTCTTTCAGAAATCCTTCTCCAAGCCTTCATCTAATTGAGTTCCCTCCTAAGGATCTCCGTGGAACTTATTTTGCTTTGGCATCCTCTGCTATTCATCTGTGTCTGCTACTAGATCGTGTGCTGCTTGAAGCCAGGGTCCCTATCCTGTCCATTACTCCCCTGGTGCCTAAAAGCACGCTGGACACAGCAGATGCTTTGAACAGACTTTTAAGAACAGTCACCCCGATCTGTACATAAACGAACTAATGGACTTCAGGTAAATGACTAAAAATATAATCAGAATGAAGTTTCCTAACTCATTTTCCTTTCTAACAGGTTCCATGTTCTCATATGATCTAAAGCAGTAGTTCTCAAAGTCTTCCAAGAGCTAGTACAAATATAAACACAATAAAATAATGCTAAACTTATACTTAAAATAGATATATTTGATATTCTGTCTAAATCATATATTTTATAAAAGAATCTAGTATAGTTAAGCTGAAGCAAATAGTAAAGATTTAAAAACAATGTATTAGAGAAATATATTAAAATAAGAATATTTTTTAAAAATCTATATTAATTCATTTTTTCTCTCAATGAGAAGTCCTCCTTTATTTGATTTAATAGTAGAATGCATAAGTTCAGCTTAGAGAAAACATCAGCACTACACCAAGATATCATGTGAGAACCGTTCACTGAAAGTGGGTTTCAAACAGTTTAAAGCTGAGAAATCTTTTCTTCAAATACAATAATTACCCAGAATCACAATATATAAAGCAGATAAAAGAGGTTTTGCTCTAGTTAAAGTGGTGGGCATGGGCTGGGGTGGGGTGGGGTGGGGGCTGGAGCCCTCTTCTAATGCCTCGCTGCCTCCCCCATAAGGCATGTCCTGGAACTTCCTGGGTGCCTCCAACTCTGAAAACCAAAAACCAAACCAAACCAAACCAAACCAAAAACCAAACCAAACCAAATCAAACCAAACAAAAAACCAAACCAAATCAAACCAAACTAAACACAAAGCATCTTGTTTCTTCTTCTCTATGATTCTATTTTTTTATATATATACTTATATACTTATTTTTTGGCTAAATCTCAAGTGCATTGCGGACATCATGACATTCATCCCTAAATACTTCAGTATCTATCGACTAAGAATAAGGAAATTCTTCTGTATAACCATATTATCTTTTCACACCTAAGAATATTAATTTAATAATTTAGTATAGAGTCTATATTTAAACATTTTCGACATTTTCTTTCCGAGTCTTTCTCAACCAGAATCTAATCAAAGTCACCTATTGTATTTGGTAATGTCTCTCTGTCTTTTTATCTGGAACAGTGGTCCCCAGCACCATTTTTCTTTTGTGACGTTAACTTTTTTGAAGAGTTCAGCCCAAATCTTGGAAGATGTTCTTCACTCTGAATTTGTTGAGTTGTTTCCTTATGTTTATGCATTATATTCTCATTTATATTGCAAGCATCTGCCTACATCTTGTCTATAAGAATATCATTAGATTTTTGAAGGCAACCATTTTCCACAATACTCAGAGCTGTGTCATACACCCCAATTTAATCCAGAGGATGTACCAGGTTCTGTTACCTGTCATATGGTACTGGATGACACAGAAGGTGGTTGATCACTATATCTGTGTACTTGGGCCTGGAGAGAAACAAACTCACGGTAGTTATGACTTGTTGGCGGACTCTAGGATGGCTGATTAATGATAGCTGGGCACAGATAACTCCCATAATTTCTGGCACCTGAAGAGAGAAAAGAAATCACTAGACCTTAATCTTGTGAGACACTGATAGTTACTGAGGCTATTGTAGCTATTTCTCAAAAGTCCTGAGGGTGACTTTTAAAACAGAATGTTTATTATTTTTTAAAAAGTTTATTATTAAAACTACTTAAAATATATCTGTATGTATGTATATGCATATAAAAGGATTTGGAAGAATATTATACAAAGAGATTAATAATGTGTCTTTGAATGATGAGATCTTTTTTTGCTTATATATTTTTTCTAATTTTTCTTCGATGATTACTTATATATTTTATAATAATACAAACTAATAAAATTAGCGTTGCAAGGAAGCTGGGTTTCTTTCACTCGGACTCTGAGAACGGCAGAGGAGTCATACCTGCCTTTCTCCCAGAGATGTCTATCATGTTCAGGCAAAGGAAATGGGCCATTGGGTCCATTTCTCTGCTTGAACTACTCTTCCTGCTCATAGATGCATGGTTTCAGGGCTCTGTGGAAATGTCAGCTTCTCAGGGAGGCAGTCCTCAACTATCTCATATAAAATGGCTGTCATTGCCACCAGTTGCCAGAAACTGGTTTAAGGATGGCAGGTGATGCAATTTTGGCAAATGAAACAGAAGGGGAAATCTGCTGGGGGCTTTTGGGAAAGATTAAAGGGGCAAAAGGAAGGCAATGCCTCTTCTTTGCTGGATAGTCTTATCTGGTCATAAAGTCTAAAATTGTAGTGACTATCTTATGACTATATAAACAGGCGAAGTAGAAAGATGAAAAATCCGTTGTCCCTTTAATAACAAGGTTGAGTCACTAAATATATTCTACTTCCAGACTTATTATATGAGATAATAAATGCTTTGTTTAAGCTCATCATAGTTGATTCTTTTAGTTTTTTTAAACAGCTGATAGCACCCAACTGATACAAGTGTCCATCTCACCATGCTCTCATTATATTGTTCTCCTTGCTATTGTAATAGATTAAAAAAATGGATTTTCATTATTTAAAATTTTCTTTTTACTTTTATGAAAATGCACACAATTTTAAAAGCCCAGTGGTATTTCAAGGCTTTCTCCAGCCTATTCTCCAGAGACACTACTTCTATCTCTTCCAGTGTATCCTTCCATATTTCTAAATGACATAATTATGTTATTTCTTGATGAATCAATTTTAGACACATTTAAATAAATTCTCTTGATTTTAAACTAAGTCAGTCCCTTCTAGGATCATTGATTGCTTAATTTTTAAAAATTTGACACCATTAATTAACCTGGATGAGGATCTATATTGAAGTTACCATGCTGACATGTGTTAATTATATCTTCTCAGAAAAATGACTCCTCTGGAAAATATGGACCACATCTTAAATTTTTAAAAATTGCCCTCCCTAGTTGCATTCACAGTGGCTGTTTATTATATGCTTGCTGAATGGATGAATGTTCAACAGTGACCAAATGGACTAAGGCTTTGACCCTGGTCTCCCTCAGTAGGTGTTCTCAGCAGATAAGAGCAGCAGAAGAGACCTCAGCAGCTGCAGGAGGGGAGAGGTCTTGCTAATATTTCAAACCCAGGAAATGGCCACTGAGCTTTTTACCTTCTCAAATCGGGATTCTGCATTTTTCACCAATGTTATCAGCAGTTCTCCTGCTGACTGCTGGGTGTAGGGATGTTTCAGATTTTTCAGGCCATCCAATATAGTCATTACAAACTGGCAGAGCTCATTTGAATTGAGAAAAACTTCAAAGACCTGAAATGATTTATGCATAATGAACTTCCAAGATACGATAGAGCCCTGAACAAGGAATAGATTCTAAGTTAACAATCAGAGAAGCATACAAATAAGCATAAGGCCGTTTACTTCAGTCTTGTTTATAAAAGTGAAAAACCGGAAGCAACTCAAATGTCCACTGCTGGGTCTGTGCGTGGCCTTTTACAGCTCTGACTTTTAGAAAGAAGCTTTATGCCTGAGATCCTCAGAAAGAGTCACATTTTTATAGAAATAGAACTAAAGGAAAGGCCCTAGTGCTATATAGCTGGCAGGGTCCCAGACACAGCTAAATACCTTGCCTGGAGACAATATATTAAAAGAACATGTCATTATGTTTCTCATTGCACTTGGCAGTGTAAAAGTCCTTCACAGGATTATGACAGGTATAATCGACTGGGCACTTACCATGTGACAAGCACTAAGCAAAGCATTTTCCACACGAGCATCTCATTTAACCCTTATAATAATTGAATTACCCCAATTGTTTACAGATTCCCTTTATATAGATGAGAAAACTGACACAGAGAATTTTAATTACCTGATACCTTTGACCCTACATAAGTAAGACCTGTAGGTTTTCTTTTTTCCCTTATCCTCTACCATAGTGTATAGTACCTAATAGATGCTTAAATATTTGATGAATAATGAATAAGTACATTAATTTAAAAGTTTATAGCTTGTTGGATCAATTACATTTTCTTGAAGCTCTTTTTTGTGAGAAGGGTTTACATTTGCAAGAGGCTGGCTAAGGTTAGAGCAATCAATGGGAGCACAGCTCGTCTAAAGAGATATCCAAACAGTGACACTGGCCCCATATAAAAAATTACCAGTACTTTTTCCCAAGTGTTTTTACTACTTTACATTCCCATGAATGAATGTATGAGACTTCTGGTTGTTTGCCATCCTCTCCGACATTTCAGGTTGTTTGTATTTATAATTTTTGCCATTCTGATTACCTGGGCAATTTTGAAGGGACAACTGTAGAACTGTTTAATACTGTAGAGGTCTAGGAGTTCTTGACATTTTTTCATTGCTCTTCTCAAACTCTGGTGATTTTTCTTGTCCTGAGTGATATCTGAGAAGAAAATATGAAATATTGATACTTTCTGGCTTATTTCTTTCCTCTTGATTTTGCAAGTCTGGTTGATCTTCAGGTTGAAGTGAATCCCAATCTTCTTGTCTTTGACACTTGAATAAAAATGCCTGCGGACAGGAGTATGTGTTAATCTGAAGGCTTTTTGTAAGAACACAGCTTTTGAGTGATCGAAGGACAATCAAAGCATGTTAAACTATTCCCCATTGGTGAAAACTTTCTAGAGGTCTCCACAAAAAATTGCACAATTTTGTACTGTGTCTGATAATTCTGATATCAAACTCTTTATGTGTGTAGTTTTGCTGATTGAGTCTGCCAATAGCCCTTCACAGTACCTTGTTTTTTTCATGTTTTATTGTGAGTCACATTCACTAGAAATTTATATATGAGAAGTCTTTATCATTTGGTTGAAGCTACTGTATCTCCAACTAGAAAATAAGATCTTTAGGGAAAGGGATCTTGCCTGTCTTGTTCACCAGTACACGCCTAGAAGAATAAGTGCTTCATAAGTATTTGTTGAATAAATAATCAATTTTATTTCCTTGGCAGTATGTGTTGGTAGACGTGCCTCATACTCAGAGCTGCCCAGAGATGAGATTGCTACTTTAGGAAGCACAGAGCTTCCTTATCCTTGGGGTGAGTAAGCCCACAAACTACTTGGTGGGGGTAGAGTAGACAGACTCAATCACTGGGAGTGGGGATGCTGGGTTAGATATTTTCTGGTCTCTTCTAACTGGGAAGGTCAATGACCCTTCTTGACCATCTGGCCCTCTTTCCATTTCTCAAACTCCTCAAGCTGATAACCTGGCTAAGCACCTTTTCTCACACTGTTCCTTCTGTCTAGTATGCTCTTCTTATGTCTTACCTGGCTAATGTTCTTTATTTTTCAAATTATCTTCACAAAGGCCTTTTCTGAACCCTATACTAGATTTGATACTTACCCTTGTAATTTCCTCTCATGGCAGTTATCTTTATTTATAATAACAGTTATTTGTTGGTTCTTTGATTGTCCGATTCGTCCACTAGACTATGTTACGCAAGGATTGGACAACTTGTGTTCTGGTCACCGTTGTATCCCAAGTAAGTACTCAGTAAACATCATGAAATAAATCAACAAAGAAGGCCCAAATGATGGTAAGAACCTCTTGCACTTCTGACCAAACTAATCACTCCCGTTTGTCCACAGGGCCACATGTCTAGATACTCCAACTCCATGGCTATGTAGATGGCTGACACTGATCCAATGTTATGATTCTAATTATTAAATCAGTTTGCTGCATCTCTGCCTATGGACTATGTACCTTTCTTATTTTAAACAACTGCAAAAAGCTTTTCTAGAATGTGGGGACTGAGGGCACAGCAGGACTGGTGCTCCTGTTGTGCTAGAGAATTTATTCAGGGCTTCACTGCCTTCAGCAGTGCCTTACACTTCAGCCTCAGAGTGATATGCAGCAGGTAGTGTGTGCCCTCTGCGGCCTCCTTGGCCAGCTCTTTCAGTGGGTCTCCACACAGTAGTGCCATCAGAGCCACTAGATGTCCAAGTCTTTGGAATTGCAGTGGGAGCTAGTCAGGAAGGAAAAAGAAAAATGCCATTAGAATACAGGAGCATTCAGTGCCTTAGATTTAAGTTGTGAAATAATTTCACTTTTGCCCCCATTCCAGAGAAGTGCAAGAGTTATGATCAGTTCTTAGATCTCTCTAGGGTTAACATTTAACGTATGGAGATGCAATATAGTCAACAAATGATATTAAACATGAAGGTAGAAAAGATAAATGAAGTTAAGAATTTGGTTAGCATGCAGAATACATAATCGTCATTTACTTGAGCTAGGCCATGGAGATAGGCTCTGAACTTTCTCAAAGCTAATGCAGAGGTACACACAATGTCCCATTTAATATGATTCACAATGCTCATAAGATAAGAAGCAAATAGCCATGCAGAAAAAGCACAACTGTTTTTGGATTGAGGCAGAAAAAAATTTCTTCTATGGCTCTTCGGAGAAATATACTGAGATATTGTGAATGATAGCCTCTACAACCTATTTACAGTAAACACAGCTTCACATACACAAAACTTGTGTAACATCTTTCATTCACTGATATAACATTCATTCACTCAATCAACAAACACTGAGTGTCAGTTATAAGCTAGAAACTGATTATGACTATGGCACTTAATGGCTAAAGCACTATGACTGGCACTGGAAATACAATATCCCTATTCATGGAGGTGATATTCTAGTTGGAAGAACATAAAATAACAAAACAAAGTATATGTATCAAATGGTGATAAACGCTACGATGAAGAAAAATGCACTATGGCCATGCTACCCTGAACATGCCGAATCTTGTCTGATTTCGGAAGCTAGGCAGGGTCAGGCCTGGCTAGTACTTGGATGGGAGCCCACCTAGGTCTGATGCTGTAGGCGTTAAAAAAAAATGCAGAGGGAAAGGAATTGCTATTTTAGAATGGTCAGGGAAGACTTCATTAATGATAAAATAAGGGACTGAGCTGTGTAGATGTCTTGGAGGAAAGCATTTCAGGCAGAGAATAGCAAGTGCAAAGAGAAGGGAATGTGTGTGATGTTTCTGAGGAGCAAGTAGGTTAGTTTAGCTGGAGCAAATGAGAGCAAAAGAAATAGGAGGTAGATGAGGATGTAGCCAGATGGCATTGCAACTTACAAAATATTATAAGGATTTTTGTTTTGTTTTGTTTTTTTCTGGTGAGATGGGAAGCCATTGGAGGGTTAGACCCTAGAGGGTTCTGAGCAGAGAAGGGACATGAACTGACCTATATTTAGTCAATGAAAATTTAATTGAGCATCTACTATGTAACATATTCTATGCTGGGCACTGTGGATACTGTGGAAAAGAAGACAAACATAATCATTGATGAAATTTACATTCTATTAGAGGGAAATAGGCCATAAATCAATAAAGAAATAATTAAACAAGATAACCTCTGACTCTAAGAAGTCATAGGAAGGAAAGAGAGCGATGAGATAGAGAGCAAGAGTAGATCTATTTGTAAGCAAAGGCCTTTTGGAAATGGAAATATTTAAATTGAGCACTAAAGAATGAGGAAGGGTTAGCTTTGTGAAGAATTGAGGAAGGTTATTCCAAGTGGAGGAAGAGCCAGAAGAGCTTTATATGGTAAAACTGTGAAGAAGGCCAGTGTGGCTGAAGTAAGGTACAGAGAGGCAGGTAGGAGCTAGATCATATAAGATCTTGTATTCTAAGAACAATTAGAAATCATTGGATCAAAAGAGTGACATGGGTTTTAAGAAGATAACTCTGGCTACAATACATACAGAGAACAAAGTGGAAGGAAATGAAGTAGAAGCCTCTACTCCAATACTCACGCACAAAAAGTACTCAGAAGGAATAAATAAAAATTTTAATGGTGGCTATTTCTGGATGACAAGACATTTTTCTTCTATTTCTTAAAAATATTTCAAAATTTTTCTATAGTGAGCGTATTGATATTCATAATACAAAAAAAAAAAAATCCTAAACTTTATTAAGACAAAAAAAAAAAGGCCACTGGAGAATTATGTTCCTAATCTGACCACTACATGGTTCTTTAACATTCTCTTTTCAAATTCTTTATCTTTTCAGGTTTATTTGAGAATGTGAAAAAGATTAGGGATCCATGGAACATACATTTGTCAAAACAGCACACTTAAATTTGGTGGATTTCATTGTATATCATATCCAGAAGATCGCACCATGCAAAATTCTGTATACAACATTCTGATGTTCACAGACGCCAAAGGCGCCCAGGCCAAGCACCCTACATTAGCAATTCTCCCTAGGAATAAAATGCGAAGGAAGATCTACAGGGCCCAGAAAGAGATTACATACAGAAAGGAGTCATCTGAAATTCTTTTTTGTCTTTAATCTGCAGCCAAAATAAGAGGTTGAGAAATGTAGAAGGAAAAACAATGTGTTATTGTCACCAGAATAACAACAATAGGGCAGTCAATGAAGACAGAATAAGGTAGTCGCTGCCGGCCAGAAGTTACTTGCTTTCACTGACTAAAGAGAGAAAAAAGCAAGTAGCATAGTTTGAGGGACTGAATTTACTGGAATAAGGAAATGGAAAGTTTGGGTATGTTTTCAATGTGAGAAATAAGAAAGTTAGTGGAATACAATCCTTTTAGGCATGACTGATAGACTATTTGTATCAAGGATAAATTCTCCAAGGAAAATTCTGGCATAAGGACCTCACACTCCTACCCCACCCTCCCAATTTCAATTCCAATTCCTGGCTTTATTATGCAGATTGGAGAAATGACAGATGGAAGACGAGAGGAGTTCCAGTGACTGGTTCTACCTGGGAAAGAGAAAAAAGATTTGCAGATCTAGAAAGAAGGTTCTTAGTTCGGGGGAATTTTTTTTTTTTAAGGAGTTATGGGAGTGATGCAGGACAGGGCAAATTTCCCAGAGTGGGGGGAACTCAAGCTCTGTACCAAGAGTTCTTTGCTGAGCACAAGAAAGAAGTCAAATGCCCACCAAAGTTAGAGTCAAAAGGAAAGTTTATTAGAGAAGGGAAAAAGCAAAGGTAAGAGAAAGCAAAGACAAAAAGCCAAGACAAGGAAAATAAAAGCACGGAGTGTCAGGGAATCCAGTTTACATATCATTCTTAGTTTCTGTGAGTTACAGTTTAAAGACTTTGTTTACCCATTTTCCTTTGATGTGGGCATACAGTGAGAAAAGATAAGAGTATGTAGGGAGAAAAAGTAAAAATACTTTTACTTAAAGTAGCGTGAAAGGCCTGTTGGCAGTTCTCAGGCTTTGATCCACAGGTACCCCATGATTTTAGCAATAGGGAATGAATGATTTTGTGTAGGATGCCACTGAAAGACTCTGTTTTTTTGTTTTTCCT